TTTGTGTGCCAACTATGATTAGTTGATACATGGTATTGAGAAAAAAAAAACATGTTAGCGTATCATGTTCGTCCCTAGTTTGAACGTTGTTTGAGTAATTCAAAACTGCATAATGGTTATTAAAAATATACAAACTACATATTGTACTGCAGAAGTCCTAAACTGTATAGTTTGACGATAATTACTTACACAGGTAGTGTGGTATTTTGAAAAACCAAGATGTTGAATCAAAATTTGATATTCAGTGTAAAATTTGGTATTCTTATTAAGATGGTCTAGATTGAACAAATTTCCAAGGATAAAATCTTACATATGTTTTTTTTAAAATTATGTTTCCTAAAATATCAATTAAATGGAAGTAATTGCATTTTTACTAATACAATTTACGCATTGAGAGATTTTATATACATATATACGATATATAGACTTGTGTTCACGTGAGACCAAGGGTTCTTTCATAAGACCAGTTTATGTTCATTGATCAACTTTATAAGCTAATGATTTAATGGTCTAAAGTTCTACGGTGACAATTTTGTGATTATTGAGAAGTCTTGTGGCATTTTTGTGATTATGAATGTTCATATTGTAGATCTAATATAAGGGTTGAGAATTGGTTTTACGGGTTTCACGAAAAACTCTTGGTCTTACATGATCTCAAGTGTCTCTCTCTCTATATATATATATATATATATATAAATTTTGCAAACTTATTTCCATCCTTGATTTCATTGATTGATAGTTGAAAAAGAATATGAGTTATATATGTTAAAGGGAAAAAAAAATCAATACACCCTCTAAATTAGAGTAGAAAAAGGTAAAATAATCAAAAGATATTTTTGAATATTTATTTTTATTTTCATTAATCTCTTATTTTCGGTAATAATTAATGATATGATATATTTTTGGTAACAATTTAAATATTTATTTTTTATTTATATTTTTTTAGATTTTTTTTAGTTTCATGTTTGGTGTTTCATTTTTTCTGCTTTCATTTTCCATGTTTTATATTTCTGTAAAAAAAATTATACCAGTTAAAATCCAATCATATACGAAATACAAATATTTTGTTCTCCCTAGAAAAATGATCATGATAAACAAAAAATTTCAACACTCCCCCTTAAATATAGAAGCCACATTCAAAAGATTTGATCACATAAAAAATGAAATATTTATATATATTTTGAGAATACAGATATTTGAAACACTGAATTTGACATAAACTGAAATCAATATAAATGAAAATCAGAAGTTTATCAGTTAAGGATTTTCAATTCATTGAATAAATTTTAGGAAAAATCCAGATTTTCAAATTCAGCATACCTAACTTAGATATCAAAAAGTTAAAACGTTTTCATCTAAATGTTTTGTAAATAAGTCAGCTAGTTGATATTATGTGTTTACAAAATATAATAGTTTCTTTTTCAACGTGATTTTTAATAAAATGATATCAGATATCTATATGTTTTGTTTTGGTGTGTTGAACAGAATTACAAGAAATAGCAATTGCACTTTTCGAATCACAAAAAATTGGAATTTTATCATAAGAAAAACTGTAATCTTTGAGCTGTGTGCGCATCCAGATAACTTGAGAACAATAGCTACCAACAGCTATGTATTTTGCTTCAGCAGTAGAAGTGGACACACAATTTTGTTTCTTTGATGCAGCGTACTAGTTTATCTCCTAAAATTTGAACATGACCCGAAGTACTTTTCCTGTCCAACATACACCCTGCATAATCTGCACCTGAGTAGGCAATCAATTTGAAACCAGTACCCTTAGGATACCAAAGTCCTAGATTAACAGTCCCTTTAAGATAACGAGAAATACGTTTAACCGCACTAAGATGGGACTCTTTTGGATTTGCCTAATATCTGGCATATAGATGTGTTGAAAACATAATATCAGGTCTACAAGAGGTTAAATACATCAAAGAACCAATCATGCCTCGGTAGGTTTTCTGATCTACAGCTTTATCTGAAGGATCAACATGTAGTTTTGAGCCAGGAGTCATAGATGTTTTGATAGATGAATAATTTTCCATATTAATCTTCTTCAGGATATCAGAAATATATTTTGTTTGACGGATAAAAATACCCGAAGATAGTTGTTTAAATTGCAAACCTAAAAAGAAGTTCATTTCACCCATCATGCTCATTTTAAATCTTGAAACCATCAAGGCAGAAAAATTCTTACAGTATTTAGGATTTGTAGATCCAAATATTATATCGTCGACATAAATCTGTATCAAGATAATGTCAGACTTTTCTTTTTTAATAAAGAGAGTTGTGTCAATATTACATTTCAAGAAACCTAACTTCACAAGGAATTCGGATAGAATATCATATCAGGCTTTCGGGGCTTGTTTTAAACCATACAAGGCTCTGTCAAGGATGTAAACATGGTCAGGCTTAGACTCGTCAACAAATCCTTCCGGCTGAGAAACATACACTTCTTTTTTGAGAAGACCATATAAGAATGTCGTTTTGACGTCCAATTGATATACGGTAAAGTTCTTATGTGCCGCATACGCCAGAAACATTCTTTTAGCTTCTATTCTAGCCACCGGAGCATATGTCTCATCATAGTCTGCACTCTCTTGTTGATTGTATCCTTCTGCTACCAACCGAGCCTTGTTTCTGACAACAACACCATCTTCATCATTCTTATTTTTGAAGATCCACTTTGTACCGATAATCGTTTTATTTTTAGGACGTGGAACTAATTTTCAAACTTTTAAGGTTTCAAATTGATTGAGTTCCTCTTGCACTACGATTATCCAATCCGGATCCGCTAAGGCTTTAGATACCTTAGTCGGTTCAATATTACTCAAGAATGTAGAATACAAACACTCATTTGCAGTAGCAGACCTTGTACGTACAAACGAATTTGGATTTCCAATAATTTGGCTTATCGGGTGATTCTTGGTCCACTTACTACTATGAGGTAGGGGAATGTATGAAGATTGATCAGAATTTTGATCCATGTAGGTATTGGGGGAATTGCCCTGAACAGGTTCATGTGAAGATTCAGTATTTTGAGTTGAAATAAGCTGAGTATCTGACACAGGCTGTAAGTTTTCATCTTGTACGACTGAAACCACTGGCAGATTATTAGTCAGACCCTCTTCACACGAAACAAGACAACCTTGTTCTTCCATCATTATCTCTTCATCAATTTCTTCAGGAACAGTAACTTGTATATCAACAGATGGACTAGATATTTGTTGTTCAGATTGAACTTGATTATTTTCCCTGGTTAAATTATTTGAATCATTAGATTGAGTTCCAAAATAATCATCATAGAAATTTCCAAACAATAAATCCAAATCAGAAATATTTTGAGTAGAAGAATAAGGTTCATTTGGATATGCATTCCGCGAAGGTTTATTCGTCAGCACGGGTTCTGAACTATTTTGTCCAGAAGCCAAGTCAACTACTTCATCAAATGACATGTTTACGCTTTCATTTACACTCTTTGTCCTTTTATTGTATATCCTGTTTAATTATTTAATCTGCAGTTATCTATATTATAGCACTATATCCTACATTATCTCCCCACTCTCCTATCTCCCACGTCCACTTCTCTCTCTCTGTCTATTTCTCCTAATATTCATATCTTCCATATACGTTTAGCATTAATTCAAATATGAAATATCCATATGGAACAACTTTTAACTCCATTCGATTTAAAATCCAAATATCCATCTCCTTTAGTATGAATTCCAATCTGGACAGGTTCCTCATTGCATAAATGGTTTTTTAATCTCTATTGAGTAAATAATTTATTCTAGGGTTTTTGTTACACTTGTTGGGATTTTTTGTGCATTTACCCAAGAGCATCAACGATTGTTCTTGTATATATGAAATATCCATATGGAACGATTGACTTCTGCCTTCTCTCGATTAAAAATTCGAATATCCATCTCCACCGGTATTAATTCCAATATGGACATGTTCTTCACTACATAAATAGTTTTCTTAATCTCTACCGAGTAAATAATTTATTCTACAGTTTTTTATTACACCTGTTGAAATCTTTTGGTTGCAAGTACCCAAGAGCATCAACGATTGTTCTTCTATATTCTTGAATAGGTTCGTGCTCCCATTTCAGTTCATTACATAAGTTTGTCCATGTAGATCTGGTCAAAATGTCTTTTTGGTAAATATTTGTATTAGTAGGGAGTTATTTTTGGCTTTCTAGCTTTACATTTTGTGGAAGTCATTTCGTTTAAATTGAAATGTAATTCCAAAATAGACCCAGTTTCAAGCTCGGTTACCAGTGTCCTGTTTGTATGCTTGTGATAGATTTTAATCAGTTCTATTATTTGCAAACAAGAAGTTCTGCAAAATAGACTCAGTTGAGTTTTTATTGCTAGAAAAGCTTTGGAGAGCTACCACATGGAGGCTCTTGATTGGATATACCACCTAGAAGCAGTTATTTCACTTTACACATGACAAGCTATGATTCATCAGTGTCTTGACTTTATCAAGGTTATATTTGTTCCTTTTCATTCTATTAGTAACTTTTTGATGCAAGCTTTTGATTACTTACTGTACACACACTTGTGTGATTTCCTTTTGAAGATCTGTATTGTAATATAAATGAAGATGATGATAGCTACAACTTGTTCTTGAATATTCATAATTGCGGATGAAATCTTCATAACCTAGTGAATAGATCATCTTCCCTCATTCTAATATTTTCCTACATCTATTCACAGATCGAGAGAACTGAGATCTAACAATTAATATCAAAGCAGACTGATTGTTCATCAATCAAACAGTTGATTATGCACTTGTGAATCATTTCTCTCATTTGTCGGGTTTTTCTTCAAGATCTAGTTACTATTCACTCATATCCTCTGTTTTCACAGTTTTCTCATAGAGATAAAATCCTCTGATTAATAGATGTTTTTCCTTGGATCTAGAAGATTATCTGATATTTTCTCTTGATAGAATGAAAAATCCGAATCAGAATTCTGCATATTGTATGGATTCACTCACAAAACCTCCAACTCTTCAAAGAGAAGAGTATCCTCAATAGAATATACGAATGATAAACTTCTTCAAGTAGATCTACATTAAACTTCCGCAAGCAGAATTCCTTGGGTATCGAACGATGTAATACAACGGGGTACAACTCGTGCGTGACACTAAATTACACAAATGACAATCTATAACAATTGTAAATAACTTACACTTTAATTTAAAATACCGTTAGCACAAGAAACATGAATTTCTTGTCCTTGATGTGTCCCTATCTTCAAGCCCTCGTACAAACGACCTAACGGCTAGGTGCTCGGATGCATATGTCGTGAAAGCCGCAAATATTAGACCTCCCGCAACCATCAAACCTAACCTGTTGATGCAGAATAAAATTCAAGCATTAACATCAAAAATCAAACCAAACAAAACAAACTCGGTATATTCCATCTGAAGATTGGGTCGACTACCTCCGTCTCAAAACACAGGTTTAAATATCACACCACACGTGAGACAACAAGTTTTTGTCTTGTCCAGTCCCATGTACCAAACGCACCCCAGATGATGCATCCGGTTGGTTAACAATAAAGATGTAAGGAAGTTGTAATCCTGAAAATACCTTGAAAACAAAGCCGTAATACCGAAAATACAAGGTATTGAAGGGGTAGCGATGGCCAAAAACGCCATTCCTAACCCGTAATACCATGTTGCTGCATCACAAGACACTTGTCGTTGATGACCTACAAAAACCCGACAAGTTTGACACTTTAGGATGAAATCTGGAAAAACATCAAACATGGGTTCTTCTACAAAGAAGGGCAAATGAAAATGCAACATACTTGGGTCTGATTCCTATTTTCTGTAACGTACTTTCAAAACCTTCATTTTGAATGCTCATCTGTGATATCTCAAACATTTGGACCAAAGTACGTTACCCACAACAGGAATCAGACCAAAGTACGTTGCATTTTCGTGCATTCTCATATGGGAACTAGGTACCTAAATGTTTGAAATGTCACACTGAGATACGTAAATGAAAGGTTCTGGAAATACGTTACACAATACTGGAATCAGACAAAAATATGTTGCATTTTCATGCAATTTGCCCTTCTACGAAGTTCAAATAGAGAACAGACCTTTTTCAGAATCATAATCTAAAGATCCAGGACGAGAGGATCCTGCTTGATTTGCTACCATTTTCCCCCATTTGTATATTAGATGTAGATAACCTCCGAAAAGCAGAAAGAAAACTGTGAAAGTCCACTCGTACATCAGGAGCAAGCCGGTCCATGGCTTTACTTGCCGAGGCACAACTGAAACACCGAGTCCAAGGGCAACCACCGCAGCCATGAAACAGAAGAAAATAGAGACCCCACCAAGAAAAGCCGGCACCTTGGCATGTCCACCGTTTGCAAACTATGGAGAACACGTGTACCAACAATTTAACATATGTATATATAGGCACAGGTTCAAATGAGAATTGTAAATATTTTGAGGACATGGGAAACAACGATTCATACTTTATTCATGATGAATGCCGTAATAGATATCCATGATGAAAATTATTCATAGTGAAAATACATGATATTCAAGATGAAAATGCATAATATTCACTATGAATAATACATGAAATTGTTGGGTTCTCAAAATATTTATGGTTCTTATTTAAACCTAGCGCTGTATATATTTGATCAAAATATAAGGAAACCAAAACATAGAAAGAGAGAAGTACCTGTTGACTAGAATTGATGGTAGAGGAAGATACTGCAGAATAAGAAAGAGAACCTCCTGATCTAAATTTGTAGTATATGTGTCGGGCATGATCACATAGAGAACGTGTCTGAACCAAACGTGGAAATAGATCAAGGTTCAGATGATGAGGATATAGTTTATCAAGAATCTGAATATCAAGGGAAAAGGAGATCTGAAACTGCCAACCTGAAGAAAAGACCGATAGTAACAGAAAAGTAACGTGAACACGGGAAGCAGGAACAGAAATTTGACTAGAAAATCATCGTGAGGATTTCCACCACCTCCAGTTCCTGGAAGAGTTTCGTCTAGCTGATCTCTAACATTCTGTCCATCATCAAACATGAAATACATGATGAGCGTTTTAGCCTTGCTAATACGGTAAAATACTCCATAAATTTCGTATTTTCTTTTTAAACGAGGAGTTGCATTAATTTTCCATTTTCGATTTACAATAAAGTTTTACATTCCGCTGCATTGCATGGGTACACAGCTAGTTATATATGGATGGACAGAAAGGAGCAGAGTTTAAATAGCAAGAAAATACCTGCCACACGTCCACAGGTTTCAGAAGCCAAGACGTCCACCAATCCCAAGGTTTAAGAGGGCCAAGCGTATAGTGAATAACACGAAGTTCTTTCTCATCTACCATCCACTGCATATGAGAATTACCAGATCTTTTCAAGATTCTTTTAGAAACATAAAATAAGATTGCTTCAAAGAGACCACAATCTCCACAAAATCCCAGAAAAAAGACAAGGCCTAAATCATTTATTATGAAGGATGCCTAACAATTTTCTAGGGAGAGAAAAGGGTGGGGGAGGCTGGCCTTCAGTAGAAGTAACCCCAAGTGATCGGGGAAGCACTACCAACCTTGTTAGCAAGCATGTAAAGTCCGACATCTGCATTATAGAGAGTAGACAGTCTCTCCATCTCTGGAACTGGTTTAGAGTTTAAGATTTCGGGAGAAATTTCAGGGTCAAAGACACGTGCGCTTGCAAATCCAGCATAATAGGTGTTAAGGAAACCCTGGTCACCTAAAAAGCAACAAGAGCACATCAATGGAGAAAGAGAGAGAAGTTTAACATAAAAAAATTATGATGAAACAATTATCATTATGAAAGATGCTTAGGCAGCCAAACCCAATACTAGGGACAAGGTTGAGCTCAATTTTGTTGGTTTCCTACATCTTACATTTCCTTTCACATATACACATGACTCTAGAGGACTATTGCAAAGTCTCAAATCACTAAATGATTTACAATACATAAATTAGCGATGTATTTTTACCAACATAAAAAATAAAGAGATGATCTTCAGAGAAGAAAAATGCATTAAAAAAAGAACTATGATGCAAGCTAAATGGCATCGCTGACAACTTTTTATCAATGAAATGAAAAAGAACACTAGTATGCTCTTTTTCCTCTATTGAATCAGAAAGATAATTTGCATCTCAATTGCAACAATTTTCATTTTGAGGTGTCATGTTAAATGAAAAGAGCTACGATGCAAGCTAGTGGCATCGGTAACAACTTTTTTTTTTTAAATGAAAAAGAACACTAGTATTGGATCAAATGCACTGTTTTCTCTAATGAACCAGAAAAATAACTTGCACTCAGTTGCAGCAATTTTCATTTTGAGGTGTCATGTTAATTGCAATGTTATCTTTTTGGGGAAATTTTCAAGCTAAATTTACCAATTTCCCAAAATTAACTGTTACAAACATGTTTCTAAGGATCTGATCTTTTGAGATACAGTTTATAAGTTCAATTTCCAAGTCTAAACAATAGGTTAGAAGAAGATGCTGAAAAGCAGCATTTCAATTTACAATGAAGTTTTTAACTTAAGTAGAATGGCTCAATGGCACATGTAGGCTTAATAGGAACTCAAATACAAAGATTTGATGCAGAAATGTGTAAAGGGAATAAAATACCTCCAGTATAAGAATACAACGTTGTCACTTTGCTCACCATGTCTTTGAAAAGCTCTTCAGATGGCTCCACTACCATAACCCCTGAGTTGAGCCTCTCAGAATGCTTTAAGTTGGCACAGAATTTTCCACATTTGAATAAATCATCGATGTTCTTAACCACAATTGTATCAGCATCAAGGTACACCACTGCAGTAATTTCAGAACATTTGAGAGGCCATGACAAATTTAAGCTATCATCAAATTGTTTGCCCACTACCTAAACATGAACATAACAAATACTACCGATTACTCTTAGATTCAAGGGGACTTTAGGACATAAGAGGTAATACAGAATTTCATAATCCAAAACTGTAGCATGAGGTTGATCAGATAGTTAGATGTAAGAACCACATTTCCCCCAAACAATTGTGTGAACAATGCAATGAAGTAACAAAGTGTGTGTCACCAGCACCAATTATCTATGTTCTCTTTTAGCAACATTTTGTCGGGGGTGTACAAGCAGATGATTCATGCAATATCCATTCTCGTTTGTGTAGTCAGAGAACCCAACAGAAAGCATCATTTCACATTTTCACCATGAAAGGTTTTAATTGGGAGGTTGAATCGATTTTAAATGTAAGCACAGAAACAAGTAAAACAGAATAATAGCACTACCAGGTCTCACTAAAAACATGTACTCCTAAATAGTGATCCACAAAGATCATTATATATCTACAATAGCATATCGATTCTATAGGACAATACACCATACAATATACATGCGAACAGACAACCTCAAATGAAATGAAGTACTAGACTTATGATGCTTTCCTAGGTAAGTTGAACACATAGAATACTCTAACTTGAGTCCTAGTTTTAAATTCATTTTCAGAAAAAGATAACCAGGTGAACTTTGAATATCTGAAATTTTGCTCATCCACGTAGGACCTAGACGAAACAAACCGTCATGCATTCATACCAACCATTTGATGGGTACTGAACCCTTGAAAAACACATGGGGTAAATGAGGTAGCTGAGCAACATAACATTTCAATAAGATTTGGAGACAAGTGCCTTTTAGGATAGGGATAAATGAGTGTTTGTGAGTTTATACTTGAGCCATCAGCTACTTTTGCCAAGGCGGTGTGAGGAGGAAGATATGGTGAAAATATTTGTATTCCTAGTTGCATTGACCGATACTCCTAAATCAATTATGCCTCAAGATGCAAAAGCGCTTGCAAAAGACATACCAAATTGTGTTACACTTTCTTTAAACAGATCATTAAACTGAAAAGGATACAGATGGAGATGGTATGATCCCACTAAGAAAGAGTACACCAACCAACAACTAAACTACATCACACTGAACCACCCACCCATTATAACTACAACAAAATAAAATCATGACCGGACTGTAGACAAAAAGAAACAAAGCCTGATAAAGTATAGAACCGACTAACAGGAGCACGCTACTCTAGACGTGGATAAATACTGAATTACACCAATCTCCTCATTTGATTAGATCCCTCCTTTAGCACCAGGAAGCTGAATCCTAAAATGGCAAAGCCGCACCCCCGAGACTAATGCTTTTGCTTTAGGGCACTACAAACCATCAACCCTGTCCATTACTAAACTATGATAAACCTCCTTTGAGGTTTACATACAGAAGGAGTTAGTTGAGTCTGTTTAATCTTTGCTTTAAACATGAATAAGGGAGGGGTAGATTGGAAATTCTGTTTGCTTAAATAGTGAGTTGTTGGTAGTAGTCGGGTATTCTGTTTTTGATTTCGGTTGAGTTAGTTTGGAGCGACAGCTCAGGGAGAGAACCCAGACCTCTCGAAAGTCTGGGAATTGCATCGATTTTGTTTATCAATAGATTGGCCGACAATTTCAATCATGTATGTTACAATCGGCATGTTCTAGCTACTGTATTACGATTGTTGTGTGTTATCGCTTACGTATTGGAGCAAGAGGTACGATTTCGATTACGATTAAAGTTAGGGTACATCAAATTGGTATCAGAGCACGTTACGATTAGGGATGGCGAATGTCATGACTCGAAGCGCTAACAATCAAATTGAAGATTTGGAGAATAGCATAGGATCAATCGAAAGAAGGCTGGAGCGTATTGTACAACAAATCGAAGATTTGAGGAACGATTTTGTAAATCGAACGAACACGTCCAATTCGTCCGATGAAGAAACAGCTGCAAGAGTGGAACAAGGCGACAGAAATCGAAATAATCAGAATCGATTTTCGGCGGTGAAGGGGCGCAAATTAGAGATCCCTGTTTTCGATGGCAGAGATCCCGACGGATGGATTTTGAGAGCTGAGCGTTATTTCATGTTGAATCAGTTGAGTCAAGAAGAGAAAATTAACGTGTCGTTTATTTCTTTTGAAGRAGATGCACTAAAGTGGTTCCARTGGGAGCATAAKCGACACCCTATTACAAGATGGGAGGATCTGAAACATTTGTTGTTAAGACAATTTAGGTCGTTGACAGCAGGTTCGTTGTGTGAACAGTTTCTATCGATGAGACAAGAAGGATCAATTGAAGATTATAGAAGGAGATTTGTCGAGTTTGCAGCACCGTTAGACGGAATTCCAGAACAGATTTTCTTAAGTCAATTCATTAATGGATTGGAAGAATCTATTAAAGTGGAATTAAGACTCTTGGATCCGTTGACACTTAGCGAAGCAATGGAGGTAGCCATGAAGATCGAATTGAAAAACAAGGTGTTATCGAGAGAGGAGAATGAGGGTTATGGCAAGAAGACAGGTTCGTCTTCTTATTCTAATTCGGAGTCGAAAAACAATTTTTCTAATCATGGCTCTAATAGCGTCGTTAGTTCTGTTAATTCACCGTCATTTACAAATAAAGCAAGTACCGGTTTCCGATGTCTGTCTGATCAAGAGGTACAACAAAGAAGATTGTTGGATTTGTGTTATCGATGTGATGAAAAATACGTCCCTGGCCATAAGTGTAAGAAGAAGGAGATGAGTGTATTGCTAGTTCAAGAGGATGTTTTTGATGATACGGAACCAGGAAAGGAGGAAAGAGCTTGTAATGCAGCAGAAGTGACTGAAAAAGTAGAAGTACATTTAAATTCAGTTGTGGGTTTGACTAATCCTAAAACTATGAAGATGGAAGGAAGGATTGAAGGACAAAAAGTGGTACTGTTAATTGATAGTGGTGCCACACATAACTTCATATCATACGATTTAGTAAAAAGACTGAATTTAAAAGTAGAAGCTAATGGTGAATATACTATTACTTTGGGTTCTGGAAACATGGAGAAAGGAAGTGGCATTTGCAAGGGGATAACGTTGTTTTTACCAGAAGTTGGGATAAGGGAAGATTTTCTGCCTTTGGGTTTGGGTAATATTGACGGTATCTTAGGGATGCAATGGTTGGAGTCTTTGGGAGCCACGTATGTTAACTGGAAGTTACAAGTAATGAAATTCACTTGTGGGGGAAAATCCGTCACGTTAAAGGGTGATCCAACTCTGGGACGTTCGATAGTGTCGCTGAAAGCTATCGGTAAGGTGATCAACCATGAAGGTCAGGGTGTGTTGGTGAATTTGGGTACTTGTTCGGTATTTTCGGAGGAAATGGCAGAACCAAATGTGGTTTTGGATCCACTACTAAGAGAATATGAATCAGTTATTAACAGGCCACGGGGATTACCACCGGAGAAGGGTAGGGAGCATGGGATTATGTTAAAGGAAGGGACTGAAACGATTAATGTTCGGCCATACCGTTACCTTCATTATCAGAAAGATGAAATTGAGAAATTGATAAAAGAGATGCTCGAGGCAGGAGTTATTCAACCGAGTATGAGTCCTTTCTCCAGTCCAGCATTGTTGGTTAAGAAAAAAGACGGAAGTTGGCGGTTTTGTATCGATTATCGAGCTTTGAAGCTTCTTGGGAGAATCTTGAAGCACCTCTTCAGCAATTTCCTAGTTGTCACCTTGAGGACAAGGTAAAATTTTTGGGGGAGAGTATTGATAAACCTCCTTTGAGGTTTACGTACAGAAGGAGTTAGTTGAGTCTGTTTAATCTTTGCTTTAAACATGAATAAGGGAGGAGTAGATTGGTAATTATGTTTGCTTAAATAGTTAGCTATTGGTAGTAGTCGGGTATTCTGTTTTTGATTTCGGTTGAGTTAATTTGGAGCGACAGCTCAGGGAGAGAACCCAGACCTCTCGAAAGTCTGGGAATTGCATCGATTTCGTTTATCAATAGATTGGCCGACAATTTCAATCATGTATGTTACAATCGGCTTGTTCTAGCTACTGTATTACGATTATTGTGTGTTATCGCTTACGTATTGGAGCAAGAGGTACGATTTCGATTACGATTAAAGTTAGGGTACATCAAAATACTACATGCCTCTCACCTTACTAAATTTAGAGCCAGGACCCCTTTTGCCATGAGCACCAAAAGCAAAGGAGTCCTCGAAGCAACCAAAGACCTAGGGTGAGAAAACAAACACTCTAAGCTAGCAGCAGAGAGATCTAGGGAGATAGAACCAAGGGTTTTTGCCACTCAAAACCTTAAGTTTCTCTCCCACTTTCTAACCAGCTCGAATTTAGTAGTAAGGGTGGAAAGCTCATCAGACATTTGCTCAAGATGGGTAAAATATACTATTAACACTTCTCAAAATGAGAGAATTTGCATAACAAGATAAGCATGAAATATGCTAGAATCTCCAAAATAGAAAGATGCTAAATGATGCCATAATATTGGCATTCTTATATTCACAACTTGGCAACACCAGGCTTTATAGCTTCTTAAGGACTAAAATCAACAATTCTCCGTTCTTTTCTCAAATCAAATATTAAAAATATTCACCAAGGCAAGCCACTAAATCCACTTTTAACATTAAGTTTGATCAAGAGGTTAGATGGAAGCAAAGTAACCAGGTTCAAGCCACAAAAAACGACCAACTCCACTAATGACTTCTTATGCTTGATCTAAGCCAGGGCAACATCAGTAGAGCAACACTAAAACCCAGGAAGAAGTAAAGAGCAAATTAAAACAAGCATCAAGACAAGTGGTAAAGCAAAAGAATCCATAGTTATCCATTTCAAGTTCTGATCAAACCAGCAAAAGCATAAAAGAGAATGTAGGTTATCTGATACAAATCCCGCAACAAGGTGAAATCCTAACATGTCTTAAAATCTGGTAACCTGGTCAAAGGTATTAACAAGCTAGATTGTCACACAGCAGAAAGCTTCTAGCAATCAGTGTTGATCGCAGATCCTAAGCAAAGTTCTGACAAATACAAGAACAGCCTGAATCGAAGGGATCTGAAGCTTAACTTAATCCAAGGAGATGTTGACTAAAAGTATACCCAGAGAAATTGATCACGAATTGTCTGTCAAAATAGATGTGGCCAGCTTTTATGACAGGAGGCCATCATAGGTTATTTTAGAGAGTGTGGTTATCATTTAAGTAAGCTACTCTCTGACATTGTATATTATCAAGAACCAACAGAAAGTTTAATAACTATATATATACATCTGCCATATATGGTCCTATTGAACGAAACTAATTAAATTTAACCACCATGCGAAGAAGACTACTAAAATTAGCAATATACAATTTTATATATGTTGCATAGCGGGTGAAGAATGTGAAGATATGTCTATCCGACCAAAAGACAGCTCTTATAATAAAACTAAGTGAGTGACAGCCTGGACGATTAAAGTTACAAAAGATATATTAAAGAAGAATTAAAATGAGCAAATTGTCCATAATTAAAATGAGCAAATTGTCCATCCTTCAGGCAAGTATATATAATAAAATACATACCATGTGAAGCCATGACCTAAATACAAATACGAATTGTATATATACTTTGTATATTTGAAATTCATAGTATCCCATCCATGTTGAAACCTAAAAAGTTTTAGTCATGTCACATCAAGTTTTGTGTGTGATTGCTACCTAGCTCATACTTTTAAAGGAGATCTTTTCTCCTTAACCATTCTACTTATTGTAAACAGTAGTGTCACCTTTCTTGTAATCAGTCATGTTGAATATCTTCAGCTTTGTGTACACACCCCAAAACCTTGTTGGTCGCACTTGATTAGGGTTCTCCAATAGACTGATTGGTGTCACAATCCAGCCATCAGCCTGCACAGATAATCCCAGAGACATGTTAAGTACATGGTGATGGAATTAACCAGATATATACAGCTCAAAAACATGTTCTTCTACTACATAATCCAGAAGCATCAAACACGTGGACACTTCATTTTCTACATTACTGTAAGACTAATCTATGGCAACCATCAGCATAGTTACCATCTTTTCTTCTCTTTATTATTATTATAGTTATTTTAAGATGGAGTTAACTATTAAGGAGAGAATGTGCATTAATAAACATGTTCATCCTATTAAAAGTCGTCACCGTGAGTTTGGTGGTAACTTTTGATCATTGTCATTGATTACCATTACTTTTTAACTTTTAAGATTTGTTCTTTTATGCAACAGAGTATTTCATGTTTGGATATCCCATACCCCAACAAATTTATAGCTCTAGAAACACAGTAGCATCTCAAAGGACATCACTGCTGTAGTTGCCCTTCTAATTCAGTATAAAATAGCAGCCCTGATATAATCAAGTAGCATAAAAAACTAGCATGTGTAATGGTTGTATATCCAGTTCCCATTGGTCGATTTATTAATGTTTAAGGACAAGCAAAAAAAGGGCTTCATGGCAGGATGAGTAATAAGTTTGCACTAAAGAACTCGCTACTCATATCATCACGTTTTGAATGTTGTGGCATCTTTTTCTTATCAAGAATCCACCATCTCTTTTGCAACATTGGTACTCTATATATGCTTTATAATTCTCGAAGAATGAGGGGCAAGCGGATTGATCGAGAAAGATCTCTTGTTATAGGATCGTGATTGGATCCGCATATGTTTGGTTTCGATCTATGGTCATTGAGACCTCCTAAAAAGATCTTTGATAAAGCGAGTCTCTTTTTCCCCTACTAACAGACCATCACTTTCCTGAACAAGAAATAGCTTTTGTATTCTATCTCCCTAGCATAAAAAGTCTTACAAAGTAGGTTGCTGGTAAACTATGTTTAATGCCAAAAACTGCATAATACGACATGAGTGCGATTATCTCTTTTAAACATTAAGTCTGGATTAAGGTACTCCCTGTCTCCTTATGAAGATAGCTTACTATTTTTCATATAACTTGTTACTGAATAAGCCTAGCAACTATGACTACATCTCAATCTCACAAGACACTAAAAGGAATAATTTTTTGGGCCATGGTCATCGCCATAACATTTCATATTCATCATCTGCCCTATACCCATATGAGTGATTGATCTGTTGTAAGTTCTCTTATAAATCCTTAAACTTTTGTATAGCCTCCAATCCTGTCACTAACACAGGTAAGTGAACAATGCAGATGCTCTTATATATTCGGAGGTACATTTAGTAACTCTAGTGACATGGCTTGAAATTGATACTTGTAGGGCAAAGTTGGTACAATATTTTAACTAACTTCGCTCTAGTTACTGTTGCGCCTATCAGATTTCATGTTTCCAAACAATAACTTTTTTGTTCTTGTTTTCACTATCTTAGAGAGATGTAAAGCATAAACCACCTATATTTCAATTTCTCTATACAACTTTTAATATACCTCAGCACTAGGCTCTAGTTTGGAAAGAATTTCTTATGGAATCCAAAGATAAACTTCAATGATTCCACACAATGCTTTAGTAGCGATAACCCACTTTCGGATTAACACACATATTTGATACATAAATATATTTCTAACACTCCAAGTGTCCAACACATAAAACATATTCAAATTTTAATTTTGTTCTAAAATTCAAGTAGAATTATGAGATTCAGTGATAAAAAGTTTTCAATTGGTGACATCAAAGTATAGAATCTATGACTTCAAAAAATAAATTACTTAAGACTTGTTGCAGATAACTTCTACAAACTTGAGCAAATTATTTATACATTGATAGAAAAATACTAGTTTACATATACATGCTTCTAAAGTTGTCTATAGATTGCTTGAATGAGCACCCACATATATGTACATATATGTATATATAGAAAGGTCATGACAAACATAGGAAAAAATAAGTAAAGAAAAAAAGATAACACCTTGAGGAGCTTCTTGGCGTAGTTTGAAACGCCATCAGATACCAAAACGACCATGTCTCTTGCGGTTCTGGTATCTCGAATCGACTTACCAAGAACACGAACTCCAAGCACGAATTCATCTCCGTACAAAAGAGTTACATACGCTTCTTTAGTCGATCCAGAAGACGGAGCTGATTGTACATAGTGATTTAGAGCTAACAAAAGAATCAATCCAAACCCTAATCTCGAAACCAGGCTCAATTTCATCTTCTCAGAACCTAATCTAAAAAAGAAATTCAAAGAAATCAAAGCGAATTATAAATGAATTTTCGAAATCTACCAATCTATAATCATCTGGGGGTTCATCTCATAGATTTTGTCAAGTGTTTATGAAACGATTACAACAAATTCAAGGGGGGGTTTGAAATGGGTTTGAGAATCTTCGTCGTAGCTTTTGGTTTTTCTACTCGCCTGCGACTGGGAAGGAAGCGTCAAAAGTGGCAACTCCGTTGTTTTCTCGGATATTCGTTTTACAGCCAAATATCAATCATTTTGTTGCATCACGATCCGATCTCGCCTCACGTGCTTAGCACGTGTCAAACTAATATTTTTACTTCAACTCCATGAGTTCACTTTTGAAATATGAACTTCTTTTTTCTTTTCAGTCTGAAAATATAATAAAAGGATTTTAAGATATAGAGAAAATTGCATCAAAATGGAACCAACTTTCACCTGATTTCTATTTTGGGGAACCAACTTTCAAAATCATCATTTAAGAGTCTTGGACATCACTTACTGGATAAGACTCTTGGTCCTTGTTTTTGCTCTTTAACGGGTAAGATTCTTAGTCATTGTCATATTCTTCCGGTAAGGTAATGTAACTTAGTAAGGCGCTTACCCAAATAAGCATTTGATAAACGGCCCCTAGACCAAACGAACTTTTATTGGACCAGTTTAACCAAGCTAGAACTTTTAGGTTGTACTCATCTCCACTAATATGTATGTTTACTTGTATATTATATGAACCAATAGCATATTCATCATTTTAATCTACATATTTGCATAAGAATATAATCTCTTAAATTTAAAGTAATCACTTTAAATTTATCAGTGTTCAAGCCATGTGAAGCACTTCAAATCTCGCTTGTTAAAGCGGTTTTTCCAACAAATTTTGCAAAATATGAATTTGATAATTCTTTTTGCAACTCCGCACTTTTTTTGCATCATGTTTAAGAGTTGTATGATTTACTTGTTGGAAGTTCAACTCAAAAGTATTCTAATTTGCAAAATATGATATCATTTCTTATTTTCCCATCACATATCTTCTAGTTTCGGGGAGAATTTGCACTCCATTTCTGAAACACAGGTCAGCATCCACCTGACTGTATGAACCAAGAAATCAGTAGGGTACAAAACCTATCCTTATGGGGTGTTTGATTTGCATATTCTAAAGGAATATGATGGAATTGGAATGTTGAACTCCATTGACCAGATTCCATTCTCTCGTTTGGTTCATTTTTTTTCACGAAAGTAATCTTCAAAATACTACAAATTCTACAAATAAAGAAATTTAACATTCTTTAGCAACTACATGGTATTTTGATCGAATGAAATTCTCTTTATTCATAATATCACATATGACTTTAACCCAATATACCCTAATCTCATAAACCCCAATATGACTATCATCGACCACCTTCGACCACCGTCAATCTGAATCACCGCTAACCATCACCAACTAAACTATTGCCGACCACCACCAATCTGAACCACCGTTGGCCACCTTCGATATGAACCACCATCGATCTGATCCACAGTCGATCTGAACCACTATCGACCATTGCCATATGAACCACCACGGACCACCATCAATATGAACCACCCCCAACTACTACTGATCTGAATTATTGTCGGCCACCGCCGATCTGAAACATCGCCGACCATCACAGATTTGAACAACCACTAATCTAATCCATTGTGGATCTAAACCACCTCCGATTTGAACCACATCTGATCATCGCCACCTGAAGCATCACAGACCACCACCAATCTGAACCACCGGCAAATACCACCGATCTGAATCACCAACGGACACTACCGACCACCAACGATTTGAACAACCACCAATCTGAACCACTGCCGCCATCGCCAATCTGAACCACCATTGACCACCTCCATCTAAACCACCGCGAACCACCATCGATCTAAACCACTACCGACCACCGCCAATCTGAACCATCGTGGACCGCCACCAACCACCGTTGATTTAGTAACGTTGTTTGGATTATGGTTATACTTGACTTGCGTATTTTATATTGTTTTACATATTAAATAATTATTTCATTGAAATATTTTTAGTTTTTAAAAAAATAATGTTTCAAAAAAGGGCATTTTGGTCATTTACTAATATTTCATTCCGATAGCAAAACTACATTATGTGAACTAAACATACAAATTTCAATTCCTTAACAGATTCCATTTCAATGTCTGCCAAACAAACATGTGGTCAAACTTGACAACATTCCATTCCAATTTCTTCAAAGTCAAATTCCTTTAACAGATTTCATTTCATCCAAAAACATTATGTGAATCAAACACCACTTTAAGGTTTACCTTATTTTAATTGTTGAAGGAGGTAATTAATTCTTTGTTTCTTTTGGAGGTGTTGACCTGCAGCGAAGCAGATGTTCAATTGAAGTTAGCATTAGTTAAAAAAAACCATGTAAAATATTCTACTTCTATCATCTTTACAATATAGGATTATAAAGAAGAATTTAACTCGGTTATAATTTGATCTGATACAAGATTTTTCGTATATGATGTTAAGGACCATCAAAATCCTGATACAATATTTGTGTTAGTGCCTGGTAAGTTAGACCTAAGTTGTCAACTTATTAGTATATTTCTTTCTGCATTAGAAATTTTGTGAAAAGATTCGACCAAATCTCATGTTTTTATGGTCCATATATCTACCCCCAGTACTAGATAGCATGTATGTATATTCCGTACTTTTAAGAGTCATGTGACTTAAAAAAAAATTTAACTGAAAGGTGTTTTAGATGAGAAATCTCTACATTTTTCTACATGACTTATTTGTTTAGATGAGGAATCTGTCGATTTAATTGTTGATGATCAGATCGTCCAAAATGATGAAAAGAAACCCACAATGGATCACCATCTTCGTCATCCGTTTTTCATATAGCTATTGGCTGAACTGTCAATTTTTCAAGTTTGATCCAATTGCATTTGATCGAACTTGAAATTTGATCTTCCTTCTCAACACGTATTTTGTAAATGTCTCTTGAAAGTAGAATTGTCGTTAGACGTCATAATTTTCAGTAGGCTTTGTATCATGGATGATGTTTGTGGTTTATTATAACAAGATTAATATATCCCGAACTAGGGCTTTGTTCATAGCTGGAAATGAGTTGCAAGCCCTGAAAAATGAAAGGTATGGAAGTCGATTTGACATAGCTAGGCGATTGGGATTTTCTTGACGGTTCTCCAGAGCCTTAAATTTAGTCAAAGTGTGTACGTTGACTCGGACATCCACAGTTAAAAAACGGGCAAATTGCATAAAAAAGTAATGCACTTTGTTCTGATTCTCATTTTGGGAAACGTACTTTCAAAATATTTGTTTTGGACCTGAGATGAAAATTTTCAAACATTTAAGTATCTGGATGACATTTTAGCCATTAATAGGTCATCATGATAATATGTTGAATTACATGACATACAAGTTCAGTATTATTTATTGATATGGAAAATGAGGTGATTTTTCAATCACCTTTCTATACCTTTTTTCTATAAAAATAAAATATATTTTTTAATAAAAGATTAAATATATATTAATATAATACAAGAACTTTTTAATATTATTAATATTCAATTTATGGCATAAATGTGATTCCTCTTCTGTGATATTTTCATACAGATCTTCTAATTAACCTCTCATCCGCCAATGAAGCCCCAAATCAATGAAACATTTCACCCGCCGCCAATGAGACCTTGTTGTGACTAACCTTCCATTTGCACCTCCCCCTTTGTTGTTTCGATGAAACCCTCACCCCACTTTAACGAAACCCTTCCTCCTGTTTGCTCCGATGAAACCCCATATATGTTTTCCAGAAAATGAGTGTCTGCAGAGGGTTTGTTACGATTTGGATTTCGATCATGCTTGGAGATGCGCAAAGAGATGTGCTATGGCCGGAGATGTTTCGTTTACAATCTGGAGTCTACCTCCCCCAATCTATGCGAGACTCGATCTCATCCAGATCTTTTTCTTCACCACCATTCTCATCCGGATTTGTTTCCTCACCACCATTTTCACCCAGATCTGACAACCTTTCGGACTAACACCTTATCATCGTCGTTCTCACCCAATCTCACATGTTTTGTTTTGATCTATGTTTTTTATTTAGGATTGATGTATGTTTTTTATTTAGATTTTGATTATGGGTTTGATTTAGGATTCATATGATAAATCTTCTGGAATGGAATTGAAAATTGTTGTGATATTGTTGATGTTCTTCGTTATTTATTTGGAGAATATGAATATTCAATAATAAAACAAAAAAATTCATATAATGATTAAATAAGTCACTCAGATACTTAAATGTTTGAAAGCTTTTATCTCATATACTAAAATAAATGTTTTAAAAGTACACTATCCAAAATATAAATCAGACTAAAATCTATTACTTTTTCATACAATTTATCCTTAAAAAAAGAATTAATAAATCTAGTGTTTGAATATCCTTTATTTATTAAAATTTAAATTAAAAAAATTGACTTGCTAACAATATAAAGGATCCTGACAAAACTAACCTCTCACTATTTCAAAAATACATTTTAAACCCTAAAATATAAATATTTCTAAAACTAACCACCTCTTACCCTATGCGCACCGGCCTGTGCGTAGAGGGACCAATTTGTAAAAAAAAATTTGAACCTTGATTTGACAGCACATTGACCGATGTGGTTTGACCAAGACCACACCCGTACGCACTGGCCGGTGCGCCGTGCGTAAGGGCCCCACCCAAGACCGATTTTTTTCTTTTTTGCTTCTTCCCAATGCAAAACACTATTCAATTTTTTTTTTTCCTCCTCAAGTTTACTATATAAACAATTCAAATTTCATATTACCAAGACAAAACCAACTCTTTAATCTCCATTTTTTTAATATGATCTTCATCACTGAAATTTAATCGTCTACATTATGGTAAGTTTACAATGTATTAATTTTAATATAATCTCTTTTTTATAATTTATTTCTCATATAATCTCATTTTTACAATATATTACTTATATNTTTAATATAATCTCATTTTTACAATGTATTAATTTTAATAGAATCTCATTTCTACAATGTGTTAATTTTAATAGAATCTCATTTTTATAATGTATTTTTTATATGATGTTTTTGTAACCTCCTTATATTATATCTATCAGGGGGATTTTTATGAAGCATTTATTAACATGGAATCAAGTATTGAAATTACAATTTTGAGGGCATTGTGGAGGTCGGGAAATAGACTATAAATGTTTAGAAATATTTGCTTCGGTCATTGGCTCGATATTCGGTCAACACATCAAGATCTGATGCTCGTGCATTTGATGTTATAAATGCAGGTACCACCACTAGAGCAAGACCGTAAAGAGGCATTGTATTTAATGTCAGAGGACGTCTTTTACGTTTCGGACGAGAAGAATTTTGTCTCGTTACTGGTATGAAATTTGGTCCGAACAAGCCTTCAGGACCGGAGATAACAGAGCTGTCCTTTATAAATCGTCCGGCACGCAGGAGTGATCTTACCTGAGTTTTTGAGCAACAAAAATTTGGAACAATAACAGACATTGATGCAGTACGCCTATGTCTTTTGCTTCTGGTTTCCATTGGATTTATCGGTCAATAAAACCATATAGTCTCTGATGACTATTTATGGTTAGTCGAAAATTTGGATGCATGGAACATGTATTTTTTTTAAATATGGTATATTTTTAAACTATTTTGTTCTATAGTTTTATTACATACACTTTATTACTGATCTATAATATTTTTATGACACAGGTATCCATCGGGTAATAATTTTTAGGAGTCTCTCTACTCTCAACTTAATGATGTGTTACCAAAACGTGAGTCGTCTAAACGCAAATACAGATACACATTACCTGGATGCGTTTTTGCATTCAAGGTAACTTTTAATTAATTGTTTACCAACCATAAAATAATGAAGTTGTATTTAAATTATATTGTTTACTAACTATAAAATAAATAAAATGTAGAGATGGATATTGGAAGCATTTCCGCATGCTTCGTTTTCTTATGGTTTATGGACCGATGGAGTCATCCCTAGGGCATGTCTGGCAACGCATGAAACAATTATTGTGGTATGATTGTCTTAGACTCATACATGTCGATGATATCGAGGGTGTGAGTTTAACCAACTTATCTCGAATAGTTTACTTTACTAACTGTAACTAAATATTTAAATGAATATATTATGTAGGAGGGCTTGCTCCCACGTATTACGTTAACACCTACTGACGTGGAGCTACAATGTCCATGATGGAGGTCAAGTTCTCGTTATTTTCAGAGGGTTGCAAAGAAACAGACCGGTGCATCGAGTTCGTCAGCGCCACAATGGTCTGATGATTTGACGGAATAAGCCATTTTTTCAGTTACAAGAAGCTTAAATCTATTCATAATCTGCATGGTTTAAAATCTTATGCCATTTCGTCCCATTTTTGGCAAAACACTTTAATCTCTTAGCTAACTTCATAGATTTGTTGTTTTTACTGTGTAGGGTGTTGTTGATCAACATCATCATATTGTTTAAACTGCTATTAAAATTGAGACCTACAGCTCTGCTACATTCTACTAATATTAGCAAGATGATTTTGCTACCTGCTCTTGTAGGCTCAAGAGGCAGCATGATCTGATAATGGTGTTCTGATATCAATGCATTAGGCCTTATAAGATTTCTTCCATTTTATGATGGAAGAAAATGAAATAAATGAATTGATCCTTATTTTCTTTAGAGAGAAACTGGTTGAGTTTTAGCAAAAACAGCTATCGTGGGCCTTGTTTTCTCTTGTAAGTATCTCAACTTTCTTTTGCCTGAAACTAACAACTTAAATAGTTCTTTTTGCCATATGTAGTCTATCTTTTTTTTTTTTTTTTTTTTTTTGTAAGGGTGTCCGGGCCAAAGCCCGACTAATCCCCGGCAAATTTGGAGGCTAAACATGGCCCCACTTAAATGTCGCCAACACTCCCCTTCCAGGGCTCGAACTCGGGTTCATGACTATACCATGCTCAAGCCTTTACCACTAGGCTGGAAGGTCTTTGACCACATATGTAGTCTATCTTTATGACACAAATGATTAAGATCATGGGTTTTTTTATGAATGTTGATCTAATTAATTTGAATTTTTTTTGAAGCAGTCAAGTTGTGGGAGTGAAGACTTAGTGGATGCTTGTAAGAGATATTCCATGGAGGTACTAAGCAATATACAACTTTGAACTATATCCTCACCCATTTGACCCATAAATTAGAGTTGGGTTTGATCAAGTTTTCGAAAAAGAATAGATCATCTAACCTATATGAGACTTAATTAGTCTATATGCTTACATGTTGTTCTATTTCTAACTTTGATAGTTTAAACATGATGTTTTCTGGGCATTATGAAAAGGATAAGAATCATGAAAACCTCATATGCTAATGGACTTTGGTCACTGTTATCTACAATTTCCATCTCTTGATGTTGTCCATCCTCTCTTTGCTCACCATCTCTCATTTCAGTTTAGTCAATCGTAGGTCTTAAAAAACCCAAAAGATTTTGGGTGGTGTGGAGTGGGACTTGAGATGGTGGTGGTACAGAGCATTGGTGTCTGCACAACCTCACAAACATGAAATCATTGAGAGTCATTACACAACATATACTGATGCAGGGATCAATCCTGTTGGCTTGATTAGGTAATAGTTGATAATTAATACTGATGCAGGGATCAATTCTGCAACAATAATCAATAGTTGATAATCAATACTGATGCAGGGCTTACTTCTGCTACGATATCATGATTACCACTATAACTGATTTGTTAATTTGAAGGCAAAAACAAATATTGTGTATACTACATAGAACGATCATTATGTTTGTCAAGATGGTCATTGTGTATGACCAGATCAATCATTATGCTTGTCGAGGCTGCAAAGTGGATCCATTGGCCTTAGAGAAATTGGGGGCCTGCAAATAACAAACCGTTGCTACTCCATCATCGCTCTACTCCACGATCTGCCACGTGCGTCGCGCTCTTTAAATGTAAGATTTCCATCACTGGACTATTTAACGTCTGCTACTGGTTTTTCCTAATGTAACATTCATATATGTTGGCTTTCCCTGTGATGAAAATGGTATTAAAACTAGGCCTGATTGGAGGGCCCCTCCATGCTAAACTTCTTGACCCCCTTGTTTTAGTAAAACAATAGATTTTGTCAAATGCTTGTGGATGTCTACTACAAGTCGTGAGTATTATATTTTAGTTTAACCATAAATGTCATTTTGAGTTTAAAATTTCACTGAAGCAAATATGCGTTCATCAACCACGAGTCCACAACCATGTTTAGATGATTATATAAACCAAAGTATATCCAATTTTGTTTGCATCTCAAGTTCTAAATGTGATGGTCGCTGCAACTACTAAGTTGGTGGTTGTAATTGGTTAATTGAGGATAAACTCTATGATAACTCTGTGTTGTAATTATTGTAAATTCACCATAATGATTCTGTTTGTTCTTGCTTTTTGAAATATGAAAGATCTTTTGCCATGTCTTTCTCTAAGTAGCCAGCTCTCAAGTCTGTTGACCTTTTTGGTCTTGGAGCTGGAGCCGATTTAGAAAAGAAATATTTAAGTATATGGAAGATGTATGTGAAGGCATACTTTTGGGGAAAGAGCCTGTAAATGCACCTCTTAAAGTGTTCACTAACCGGTCATCCTTTCTTCTTACTTATCACTACCTCTTATTCTGTCAGTTCCACAAAACTGTGATCCCTCTAGCAGAAGAGGCTGTAAAGATTGCTTCTACGTTCAGTGACGTACTTACAATAATAGTTTTGGATATTGAGCAATGCAAAGAATTGAAAATTGGTTCATTTCTTGGTGTTGCTGCTACTTCAACAAATCCTCCTAAATTTATCCATTTATGGTATAGACCTCCAAATGGATCCATCAAAATCAAGCTAGCTGTAGTGGGAAAAGGAACACATTTGAAAGGTGATAAATTAATTTTCTTTTGTAATTGTGAGTATCAAAACACTTGTTGCCTTTTGGTAAGTTTTCAATCCCCAACTTCTGATTCTGATTTTTTTCTATGCCAGCACATAGTATTGAGAAGGCCCTGGTTCAAATCCAATTTCGGTGTACTGCAAAGCTACAACAGTGGTCGCACCAGGCAAACAACTTCAATTGTTGTTGTCATTCTTCCTGAAGCAAAAGGAACTTATTTCAAGTTGTTTTAAAATGGATTTCTTTGACATGTTTACCATATATAAATAAATCAATACGCTGTCTCTTTTTGTCTATTTGTGAATCTTTTTTTAGCAAAGATCAAACGAGTATGTGAACAAAGAATTTTTTGTTTTTGACTGCTTTAAACCACATGTTATGAAGCTCAGTTAGCTGGTGAAGTGGTTGTTTGAAATAGGTATGTTTTCTAAATGTAAAGTAAATTTATATTTTGTTTGTTGAATTATTGGTAAATTAATAAATTTGATGCAGAGAACAAGTCGTTTCACACTATATCAAGTAAGAGGCATAACAAAGACTGAGAATATTACCTAGTAAGTGTTAACTGCTTACCAACAATCTATTTTGATGGTACCTGATAAAGTAAGTAGAGGTGTTGGCCCTTACCTATAAGTGACCCTTAACTTTGTCATTGTATTTGGTAGGAGGTAGTTGCGTTATTGGTAAGGATCATTGTATTTGGTGGGAGGTAGTTACTTAAACATGCTTCCTAATTATTTCAGTACCTTTTATCATCTGTATGATCAAGATCACCATATTGTTTAAACTGTTACCAAAATTGAGACCTACAGCTCTGCTACATTCTGTTGATATTAACAAGATAATTTTGTTGTCTACTCTTGTAGGCTAAATCCTTTAGTTTCAACATTTATCTTAGGTTGTTCTTGAGAATCATTCTCATGATGTACATAGAAGATTATTTGATTCCCGTGACTTTAGATTCTGCTTTTCATATTAAGAGTGACCCTCTACTGTGTTTGTCAACTAAAGGTATCTTAGGTTAATTGTTAATACTACCATAATATGATAATATTTTCTTTACAATGATGCTAGAAAATATCTTAAAGATCCACAAATTGGATTTCGCACCACGAATTAAAGGACTATCATATTTTTTACATCCCACCGCATTGCATGGGTAGACAACCAGTATATATATTGTCAAATGTAGCACAAAAAACACCATAAAATAAGTATAATTATATCCCACTTATCCAAAACTGGTAAGAATGAAGCTATCACTCATGGCTGGCTGGCTGGCTGGCTTATATATCGAAACTATAGAAAAGACACTCAAATACTTCAACTTCCAAAAATGCCTTGGCAATAACAACCTCCACATGAAGAACAATTGAATTTCCCCTTTTGATCTAAATGCCTCGTCCAGTTTCCTATGGATCAAAATCAAACATCAGGGATCCAGACAGAGTAGACCCACATAATTATCGAATCTAGTAACAAAATAAATTCGAGCAGGAGCCTAAATGAATGGTCATATTCAAGATGCATTTGGTACGTGGGACATACCGAAAGAATAAAAAACAACTTCTTGTTGGCTAGCATTGTACCGGGAACATGACAGGACTTTTTGTCCCACCAAAATAGGTAGAACCAAGATTCAGAAGATGAAACAAAATTTAATAAATTACTAAAATACCCCTCTCATCCTCAAGGACATAAGATAACAGAAGAAGCAAACAGAAACATGATGGGTTTCAGGATCTTCATAATTACTTGCTTAGAAATGTGTCATCAATGAAGGCAAAAGAATAAACAAGTCAGAATGATTTATTCTTATGTAACAGAGTATAATTATCTTTAAAACCACATTCCATAATGCAGTGGAAGCATTTAACACATAAGAAACATACCACATCAATCATCGACCTCAGCTCTGATTTCCCTCTGAAGCTCCTCCTTATACTCATCAAAAGTACCAGGGAATGCCTCCACACTTCCATTATCTACGACCCATATTTCGCTCTTTTCTTCATCATCACAAACGCGTGATATCAACCTAGAATCGTGACTGACAAGGACAACACCACCAGTAAACTCGTCGAGTGCATCAGCAAGTGCATCAATACTCTGCATATCCAAATGATTTGTGGGTTCATCCAGTAGCAGAATGTGTGGCTTAGACATGGAGATTGAAGTGAAAACAACACGAGCTTTTTGTCCTCCAGATAATTTAGCAATTGGAGTAAGGTGATTATGGCTGGGAAGCCCAAATTTACCAAGCTTCGCACGAACAGCTTCTTGTTTGCTAAAACCCTCCTGCTCTGGATGAAGACGAAGAAGATACTGAACGGGTGTTTCACCCATTGTCAAGAGATCAACAAAGTGTTGGGAATATCTTCCAATTCTCAATTTTTGGCTCCTTCTTACTTCACCCTCTGTTGGGTTCAAGTCTCCAGCAAGAAGGTTCAATAATGTAGACTTTCCAGCTCCATTGGGACCCACAATAGCAACACGTGTACCCATATCAATACCAACATCCACGTCAGATAGCTTGAAGTCCTCTCTTTCTGGATAACTAAAACTCACTTCAATAAGCTGTAACAATGGTGGTGTCAATTCAGTAGGCTCAGGAAAATGAAACTCCACAGTATAATCTCTCCACTTCTGTGGGGCCTCTACAATCTCCTCATCCTCATCAACTTTCCCCTTTGCCTTCTTCTTTGCTTCTTTAACAGCAAATTTTGCTTTTTCTTTAACTTTCTCTTGTTGTTTCTGGTTCCCAGCCCTCTTTGCAGCTTTCACCTGCTTGTCGTAAGTTTCAAACTTCTTATTCATCTCTTTGCGACGTTGTTCATACCCACTTTCAAAATCATCAAAGTTTCCACGATACAGATGAAGTTTTAGATCATGAAGATGGATTATTTCGTTGCAGACAGTATTTAAGAAGTCTCTGTCATGTGAGACAACAACAAGAGTTTTCTTCCATCTGCACAAGTATTCCTCTAACCAGAGAACAGCTCTAAGGTCAAGATGGTTGGTTGGCTCATCCAATAATAACAGGGTAGGTTGGACAAAAAGGGCCCGGGCCAACGAAATTCTCATCCTCCAGCCACCACTAAATGATCGGGTGGCACGGCCTTGCATAACTTTTGTAAAACCCAAACCAGCAAGGATCTTTGAAGCTTGAGCTTCTGCAGCATCTGAACCCATTATCTGCAATTTTTCATATAATTCAGCAAGTTTCTCTCCAGTATCAGCAGCATCATCAACTACATTTCCATTCTCGTCCACTGGTTCAGGAGCTTCTAGCAATGATGAAACCTCTTGTCGTAGTTTAACAAGCTCCTCGTTTGCTGAAACAACAGCTTCGAGAGCTGTCCTATCATCACCAACTATTTCTTGCTCCACCAAAAGAACATCTATGTTCTTAGGCACAGGAATCTTCCTCCAGGCTAGAAGCTTTAACAATGTAGACTTTCCCTTCCCGTTAGGTCCCACCAAACCATACCTCTTTCCATGAGAGATCTTCACAGATGCATTCTTCAACAACTCTTTTCCCCGTGCCGAAACTGAGAAATTCTCTACTGTTATGTCTTTTACATTGGCATCAGCTTCATCTTGGCCATCAAGCACTGAAGCTCGACTACCTATCACCACCGTAAATGCATCATGGTCATCTTTCATAGCCTCTTGCTTGGCCTGCTCCACTGCTTGAGCAGCAATCATATCCTTCTTTTCTCGTTTCTTTAACTCCTTATCGGTCACAGATATCTCAAGAACCTTATCGCTAGCCCTCTCTTTCCTGCTCGGTTTTTTTCTTCCCCCCTTTTGATGTTCATCTTCTTCAGACAGATACTCTCCATCATCCTCATCATCATCTGAAGGAGGAAGATCAATGTCGGCATAGGACTGTGATTTTGGAGCTGCTTTGGGCTTGGGACGAGCCGTAGAGCTTGAGGAGGTTACTTTCTTTGCCTTATCAGGTTTCTGGTCCATACTGGCAAGCATGGCTGAGACTGATAGCTTCTCTTTCTTTCCTTCTTTATTGCCTTGTTTACCCTTTTCTCCACCCTCATCTGTTTTCTTCTTTCCCATTGGATTTAATAACTGTCACAAACCTGTATACATAATAAAAAAGTAAAAAATTTAGGCAATACCCACGAATATAAGCTAGTTCCAACAATTATTCAGATTCAATAACAAAGTGGCCATCTTTACCAGCATACTGCAACGGATAAAGAAAATCAAAATCGTTTTAAAAAATGTACACTTGTTACACAAGAATCACAGGCCAACCTAACATAATACAATAGCAACCAACAACATCAGAGTGTATGGGTAATCAGATTACACTTTTAATTATTTAGGGTCAAAATAATCAAATTTCGATAATCTTCCAAGTTGTTATTAAAGAATGATTAATGGCATAACCATAAAATTAACTCTCTCTTACTTTAAACTACTAACGAGCAGTTTTTTGTGTGCTGAAGATCTGTACAGAAAATTATGATTTTAAAACTGACTTGATTTAGCATATTGGTCCTCCAAAGCTGCTAGTAACACAAGCTAGTCTACAGTGTAACAGAAATTCTGCTAACTAAGAAGGGTGTATGGAAGGAGACGAAAATCCAATCTCCTCAACTATAAGAAATCCTGTTTATTTAAGTGTCCAAAGTGAATAGAGCACATAATGTCTAAAGCAGAGTTGGATTCCACTCCTCTATTAAAAAAAGAGACGGATTCCACTTTATTGTGTGAACATATCTCAACTGATTCGTTTTTACAATATACTGCATTGTTGAATTATTACCAAATTACAGTTTGCATAACCATTCCCAAATCCCAACCTTTAGTAAAACTTACAAAAAAAAAACTACCAGCGTGAAAATCAGATCTACACAGCCAATTCAATTCAGAATGCGTTTGCGTAATATGAAAAGGCAAACAATTTGATGTCAGAAACAAACAGAATCAACAAAATTCGAGTTGAGATCTCGATAAGTTCGGTAAGAGAAGTGAGGAGAAAGAAAAGGCCGTGCCAGAGATGCAGGGAGGATCATCAGTCATCGGATTCTTGACGGAATGATATGAAATATGAATCGAGCTGCTTGTTTTTACTAAAGATTAAATACCTGGAGATTGGAAGTGTAAGCAGGGAAGAGAAAAGCGAAGACTCGGCGGTAACGAGAGAGGCGACGGCGAAAACGACGGCAACGTGAAAGGGGAGAAGCGACGGACGGCGCCGGAGTAGGAGAGGACTCAGAGATTCTGATTTTTAGGGTTTCTGATTTTTAGGATTGGATTTGTTGTGGCGTCAGGGCATATTTGGAAAATTTCAGGTGTAGCGCAGACCATATGGGGGAGCAACCGACCCAGCTAATCTATGTACGAAAATATCCTGATCTATTCTGTTAGGATTTAGAAAATCTATATCTATCTTATATTATAAAGTATTTTATAAAAAAAATTAAAAATCTATCTTTTTTATACATATGAAATATTATTTATTAATATGTATTACTTAAAATTCAATATTATAAGTAAATTATGTGTAAGTATAACTTATCAAAGATTCATATTTTAATTCGTATAACTAAAAGTAAGTAAAAATAATCAAATAAAAAATAAATATATAATTTTAAATATAAAAAAACTAAAGTAATATTAAGATAATCATTGAGTTCTAACAAAATACTTAATTATTATCTTTATAAAAAACTAGAAACATATGTGCGCAATGCAACGAGATATATCTCGATTTTAATGTTCGTTCTATTTTTTGTCACTGTAGACATAATACGGTTTTGTATGGTTTTAAGAAAATGATAATGTTTTCATTTTTGAATAAAATAAACTTGAAGATCCCATTAAAATTTGAAAAGTTAAATATATTGATAATAGTATCGAATTAACTATTTAAAAGTTTTTGTTTTTTGTGGAATTTCTTTAATTCAATTTCTCATTATAATTTAATTTAGGTTTAATAACGAAATAATTTATTTTTAGTTTAATAATATATTTTTTATAAAGATAATTATTAAGTATTATGTTAAAAATCAATGATTATTCTAATGACATTTTAGATCATTTATATTTAAAGTGAGATGTTTATTATGTATTTGACTATATTTATCTGCAGTTAGGCATACAAATTTAAAAAATGAAGCTTCAATAAGTAGTATTTACACACAATTTACTTGTGATCTTGAATTTTTATCAAATGCTTTAAAATATAATATAGATTATATTATTAAACCAAAAATAAAAAAATTAAATTTAAGTACACAAAAAAGGAGATTTTTAAATAGTTAGTTTGGTACCAATATCAATATATTTTTTTTTATTTTTTTATGATATCTTCATATTTATATTTTATTCAAGAATAAAACATCATCAGTTTCTTAAAACCACATAAAACCGTATTATAACATTGACTGAAAAAAGGAAACATTAAAATCGAGATTTTTTTTCACTGCATTGTGCGAGTACCATTCTAGTTATAATATAAAACATGCATTTAGGTTAAACTTTCAAAAACCATTTTTAATTCATCAAGTACTATTTAATGATGCATATTACATAAAATTCAAGATTACAAGTAATTGGTGCATGAATACAATTTTTTAAAGCTATATGTTTAAATTCATATAATTATGTAATAAACATAATCAAATACATGATAATTTTAAATATAATTACGATAATCATTGAGTTCTAACAAAATACTTAATTATTATCTTCATAAAAAATATTATATTATTAAACATAAAATAAATTACTTCATTATTAAACCTTAAACTATCATATAAAAAATTAACTGAAAATTATCTTTATAAAAAAACATTATACTAAAATAAATTACTTCATCACTAAAATTAAATTAAATTATAATAAAAAATTGAACTAAAAAAATATACTTTTCATACTAATATTGATATAGTCTTTTCAAACTTGTAGGGGATCTTTGATAACACCAATTTTGGTTTTATCTGGGCACCGCTTTCTATGAGATTTTGCTTAAGTTCTAAATAAAGGAATTGTGTTTTTCATAGTTTATTGCTAGTATCGCAGGTGCAAATCATTCGAAGCAAATCTAATGAAATTGGGCGTTAACTGCGAAAATAATGACGAAATCGAGTAGTTGTATTTCAAGGACCAAAGTGAAGAATTGTTGAAGTGAAAGGATGAGTCAAAGTACATCCAAGAAGTGAAAAGTCAAACTAGTGACCAAGGCTACTTTCCAAGCTAGTTTGATTGGTCAAGCTAGTTTGGAATTCTCGGGCTAGTTTGTTTGCTAGTTTAAACTAGCGACCAAACTAGTGAACATCTATGAGCCCATTTAAATCATTATCACTGCTAGGGTTTGGGCCAGTTAGCAATCTATCAAAAAGAAGGGCGAGAAGAGGCGATTTTGGGGAGATTCTTTCATCCAGAAGACGGGTTTGAAGCAACGAGACCATTGCAAAGCAATTCGTTGACGGGGATCAATCTATTGTTCATGGGTATTTCGATTCAAAGGGAGTTCTTATATATTTTAGATTTTTGTTCAGGACACCATTGTTTAGATTCATGAATTCTTCTAATGTTTTGCGTATAATACCCCGAATATAAACTAATCTTTAGAGGTTGGGGGTCGGGTTACTCTTGGATTACAAACATATGAACATAACTTGTGATTTGTGTTAAACTTTTTTATTTAATGAAGCATATGATTTAAAGGTTAATGTTTTTGTGAGCCTGATCAGCTTTCAATTGATTGGTTTGTTATAAGTTAAATTCGAGAGAATTAATTTGTAACTAGAATTGGGATAATAATATGCCTAAGGTGAGAACTTGGATAGAGATATACCAATTAAGCCTTAGTACAGTTTACAATCTTGTTTCTAGGAAATTTCTGGTTGCAGGTGTTGAGATCGAGAGATAAAACAATTGTTTTTCAGGAATAACTTTGTTATCATTCGAGAGAGGGTAACAAGAGTTTGAGTGATTGTGTATTCATTAATTGAATTACCCAACAATAATCCAACTGAAGTGTTTTGTATGAAATCCTTTAAAACCCCAACTCCCAAGTGCTTTTCTCCCTATAACGTGTCCAAGTTTTAATCTTGCCGTTTTTTCATATTTCTCTTTGTTTAGTTTATCAATTAATTAAAATATCCAATCATCCAATCAGATAAATTAATGGTAGTTATAGTCATTGTGTTACTTAGTACCTAGTTCCATAGGTTCGATACTCATACTTATTGTACATATTGTTTGATTCAACCCGTACACTTGAAGTTAGATTTAAGGGGTGTAAACCCACCTATCAAGTTTTTGACGTCGCTGTCAGGGAACTAGTTTTGCACTGATAACACTACTAGCTATAAATATTATTACATTGGATACTTCATTTATTTTGCTTGATTTTCAATTATTCCATTAATTTTCAGGCTCACATAACTCCTCTTTTTGAATTACAGGATTTAGTGGTTTATGCTAAGAAGTTCTGGAGATAGAAATCTAGAACCATTTGATCCAGAGATTGAAAGGACTGCGCTCAAATTGTGGAAAGAGTCCAAGGCTAGAAAGTTAAGACAAATGGGAGAAGATCGACCTGAAGATGAGGTTCACCCACCTCCACCACATCCATCATGTATTTCCATGAGGGCGTATGCCAATCCAACCGCTGTAAAAATCAATATTGGCATACAAGCACCCACCATAGTTGCCAACACATTTGAGATAAAATCTAGCACGATTAACCTGATTCAACATAACCAATTTGGAGGGGCACCGACTAAAGACCCTCGTGGGCATATTCGCTCATTTGAGAAAGTATACAACACTTTCAAGATGAATGGAGTGTCACAAGATTCTATCAAACTTTGGTTATTCCCATTCTCTCTGAGAGGCAGAGCAGCTACTTGGGAAGAGAATCTTCCAAATGGTCAGATAAACACTTGGCCGAAGGTGGTGACCGTTTCCTTTAGAAGTTCTTTCCATCGGGCCGAACTGCCCAATTAATGGTCGAGATTACACATTTTGCTTAGTGGAATCAAGAATCCTTATATGAGGCTTGGGAAAGATACAAAGACATACTGAAAAGGTGTCCTCATCACATACTCCATGGATGGGTCGTTATTCAGACTTTCTTCAGCGGCTTACATCCTCAGTATAAGAATGACATCATTGCAACGACTGGAGGTTCCTTAATGAACAAAACGTATGACGATGGGTTTTGTTCTATTTGATGAACTTTGAAATGTTTTTCCTAGTGATTTTGTTTTTTCAGTTGGACTGAGTTTGTTCATTTGATGAATTACAAACTAGAGTTTGTTCTTTTAACGAATCATGAACTCGCTTTTTTGAAAAAAAAAATGTAGATTGCAAAGAATGGTCATCGTATTCGTACCTGCTACAAGCTACAACTTCATCATCCTTTAAGAACAAAAGGTATATACATTTTTTATTTGCTATATTACTTTTGGACATGATGTAGGTTTTGTTCGTTTGAATGAATTATGAAGCTGAAGTTTGTTTTTTTATTGAATCATGAATTGGAGTTTGTTCTATTTGATTTGAAATGTTTTCTTGTTGATTTTGTATTTTAGCTGAATCATAGACTCTAATTAAATGGTTTCAAGCAGTTGTATTATCCGGGTATGATTTTTCAACATTTGTAGTGTTGTCTACACCAATGTAACAAAACCGGCCTACACCTTTAAAAATGATGGTGTTGAATTTATAAAGAATCAAAAGTAACATTGAATCCTGCAAACCACTGGGTTTGGCCAAAATCCGAATGTATGACTTTGTCTGGAATGAAAGAGGATAATTGGGTTTAGTTTGTTGGTTGATTGTTTTTGGGTTATATGAAAGATTTTTGAAATGTTTGTTCTACTGAGGCATCGATGCTACACAAGTTGGGAACATAACTATATCACCTTATCAAGGGAATGACAAAAAATCCTATAAGGTGCGTTGTCCGATGTTTATAACTAGTTGTTAGGACTGAAATTCAGTGTAAAATTGTATTCGTCTTCAAAGTTAAAATTGTCTATAATTGTATAAAAGTCATCGTGTTTGAGTTTTCTATAGATTGTTTGACTTTGACTTTGTTTACATCTTTGACCCTATATAAAGGGTAAATCCTTTGTAATTTGAAGTAAGAGAGCCTTATTGTAATATCAGTTTACGTAAATAAAGTTTGACCAAGATTGTGATATCTTGACTTTCTCTATCTATTTGTTCTTCATGTTCTTGAATGCTTTATGAAGATTGTCATGGATTCTTAAAAGATTTAACTGAAGATTGATCATAGAGACTTATCACTAGCGCTGACAAAGGGTAAGGGTAAACCCACTACCCGTTATGCTTTGATCGTTGTTAAGAATATGGGTAAAGAAAATTTTATTCACGTCCATTAACCAACATTTGAGTGGGTGGGGTATGGATGAACGGTTTTTCATTATCCGTTACGATTATATACGCACACACATCGTTATATACTAATATTTTCCTTTATAATACTATCATATAGTGATGGCCAAACCGGCCCAGCTCGGGACTGGTGAGGACCATTATGGAACCACCGGTTACATCCGGTTATGCTTTTTGTCGGATTTGTGGGACCGGGACCGGTTATGGCCCGGCCTGGCCCGAAATATTTAAAAAATGACCTTTTTTTTAAATATAGCCGTTAACTAGCCGTTTTTGAACTTTTTTTTTTGTATTTTGTGGCCTCTAAACACTATAAATATGTACCAAGATTGAGAGGTTTACATACCAAGTTCTCAATTCGCAAAAAAAACAAAAAGTGTTTACAATTCTCGTAATAAAACGTATTTTTAAAGTGTATTTGAGTGACACGTACGACAAATTTAATAATTTATTAAAAATATATATCATTAAAAAATTAAAAATATATTTTTTAAGGGTGGGACCGGGACCGAGGACCCATAACCGGTTATAAACTAGCCTGACCGGTTTTCATTTATTCGACCGGGACCGGCCCAGGACCGATTTTTGGCCATCACTACTATCATATATGGTGTATATTAATGTATAAATATAAATAATAATAATTTATGATAAATAAATGAGAAACAATATGACTTCGATAAAATAAATATAACAAAAAGTGTTTATCTTTTTCCTTTTATTGTTTTAAAAAGTTATATTGTAATTATATTTAGAAATAATATTACAGTGTTTAATAAAACAAATTAGATATAAAATAATTACTATATTTATGAATATATGTTTTAATTATATGTCTGAGGTTTAACAGTAATATGTGTGGCCCGAAATGATTTTCTTTACCATTTATTAATTACCCGTTTTATTACCTTTTATTTTAAGGGGTACGGTATGAATATAGATAAGAGTTCTATGACATTGATGATTACCTGTTTTGTTTATAGTTGTTTTAAATAGAAAGGATAATGGAATAACTCTTACCCTACCCGTTGTCAGCCCTATATACAACACACATGTACACTATAAAGAATCAAACAACGAAGCCAACCTCTCTCAGCCTCACATTTGAGCCCTGGCTTTTATAACTTGATCAATTCAACGATACGAATAACTTGATGTCTTTGGTGAGCTTATTTTTAAGAATTTAAGCCTATAATACCATCCAATCAAGTAAGAAGCAGTACAAACATGTAAGTAATGCAATAAATGACATGCTTATTTAAGTTTCGGATTTGCTACCTTTCTTAAGGGGTGTTTGGGATTGCTTATTTGAAACAACTTATGCTTTTCTACAAAAGCACTTATCAACTTATTATAAGTCATAAGGGTTTAACTTCTTCAAAAACTCATTCCTACCGGTACAAGTTGTTTATCCAAACACTCAAAAGTGCTTATTACGGTGTCACACCGGAATAAGGCATAAGTTGTTTTTATAAGCAATCTTAAACACCCCCTTATTCAAGGTGCCCCTTATGTCTTATTTCACTCAACAAACGCATGAGATTACAAATATTGCATCAATAACATTTAAAAGTCAATTACTGAAGAACATGTAAATACTGGTTGTAAAGGTTAATTGTTTGAAAAACTAAAAAATAAGCAATGACAGATAACAACTTTCGAGGAGGCTGTTTGATTACTACATTATCTACCATAACCCACTACAAATTTCACTGCTCCCCGATACCTAAAAACATCACTTATAACTTTTGCATTTAAATTCAACTAATATTGTTCCAACAGTCATCTTTCCGAACACAGATCTCGACAACTTACTTATAATTATTATTGCATGAATTATGGTTACCATGCAATGCACGGTGCCGAACACAGGTTGATGTTATTCTTGTCACCAGAGAATAAGTGTCAAAGAAATCTAGACCTTCTTGTTAAAGCTTAAATCCTTTAACTACAAGCTTGACTTTATATTTGTTGACTGAACCATCCTTTTCAATTTTCATTTGAAATCCATTTGCATCCCAATGGTTTACAACCACGACGTAGATCAAGTAGCTCCCACGTATGATTTTGGATAATGGAGCTGACTTCATTTCTCATTGCTTCCTTCCACAAAGGAGCATCAGGCATATACAAAACTTCTTTAAATGTTTGCGGATCATTTTCTAACAATTGAGTAGTTAAAAAATCAAGTCCAAATGATTTGGATATTCTAGCCCGTTTACTACGTCTAGGGTTGTCAGTTTCACTTGTCGAATTTTCAAGCGAGTTACTCGAGTTTCCTTGATGTCTCGTAAGTTTGGGATATGAAAAATCGTTATATGGAACTAGATGCTCAAAGGAGATTTTTTTCGATTCTATTATTATATTTCATGGATATCTAGTATATTTGATTTGTATATCAAGAACCAGTAAGCTCAACTATTTTGTGCATATCCTATAAATATACAACCAATTATTTTAGGTCCAAGACGACCCGTTTAGGATTTGGAACCACTTTTATTTGCCAAACATCCCCATACTTTCATATATATATATATATATATATATATATATATATATATATATAGAGAGAGAGAGAGAGAAAGAGACAGAGACAGAGAGGAGCGATCAAATAAAAACCACTCCAATTTGTAAAAACAGTAAAAACTACTCTCATCCGTCGTTAATCTTATGAAATTTTTTCATGAAATTGTTTCATATAATACTTTTTTTTATTAAATTGTTTCATATGTGGTTATGAAATTGTTTCATATACTACTTAATGAAATTTTAATGAAACTGTTTCATTTACTTCTCTAAAATTAAAATAATGAAGATGATAATATCCATGATTAACACCCCTTCACAATAAAAATGGTTAATCAACCTCTCATAATTACAAAAAAATGAACAAAATGAAAAATTATGATTGGTTGAATGAGGTTTTCATAGTTTTTACAAATTGAGTGGTTTTTATTTGAACCCACCCCTATATATATATATATATATATATATATATATTATGAAGGTAATCAAGTATTCCATAATTCATATTGGAGTTTTTCCAGTTTATTTATTGAGAATATAATTAGCAGATTGAAGAACTTCCCCCCACATATTTAGGGTAACCCAATTTTTTTTTCCATTAATCTGGATATCCAACCCGCTATGACGAGCCGACTAATCCCAGGGCAACCATCTGTTTTGCAGATATCCCGGAGTCACCGCATTTGAACCTCCGTGGCCACAAGGGGATTTTTATTCCTCCTTGGATTTGAACCCGAGACCTCCAGGTACTTTTAACCTTTAGAGCCAAACTCAAACCAATCAAGCGCCACCCTTGTGGGTAACCCAAAATTTAGCAACAAGGCATTCATCATTTCTTTTAAAGTTCTATTTTTACGTTCGACGATACCATTTTATTGTGGCGAATAAGGAATGGTCATTTGATGAACTATATCATGTTCCAAATTAAATGACACATCATATTCCCCTTCTCGATCACTTCTAACAACTTTAATTATCGTTGCCAAGTTGGTTCTCCACTTCATGTTTGAATTCTTTGAATTTTTCCAATGTTCCGTTTTGGTTCAAAGCAGATATGCATAACAATATTTTGTACAATCATCAATGAAAGTAACAAAATAATTTTTACCACCTCTACTTAGCATAAATTTTAAGTCACGTAAATCTGTATGAATTAGA